CAATGGGTTGCCAGGGTTTGGATCATGTCATTTACAGACCTGGTTATTACACCCTTCTTCTTCAAGCTAGCCCACCCATGATGAAAGATTCTTTTCAAAGTCCTCCAGAGAATAATAACCCATAATCCTCAATTAATTTCTCCAGATATTTACCCCTCTGAGTATTTGAAGCCCATTTGCTTTAGTGCCATACTTGACAAAAAAAAATCTATAGAAACAGCTTCTCTGGAGCATGTAAATCACCCTTCTGACTTTTCTAGACTTTTTGGTTGTACAAACACCTCTAAAGAATACTAAAAGGAAACCTTATGATCCCTGAAAGTGTATGTGAGTCTTTGAATATGATCCTGTGATCTCCACCATTCAGGCACTTATAAAAACAACTCTTGGACTTCTGTTCAGTCATAGATTCTCACAGAATGTTCTTACATATTTCTTGACACTCCAGAGCTCATGTCTTTTCATTCAGCCTTAATTAAATTATCATAGGCAACACAACATTTAATGTTTATCTTAACTTTATTGAATAAGTAAAGTAGGCATTACATAAAGATTGCAAGTCATTCATGGCCCTGCATAGATACAGACATTTATTCTGAGGCAAAATGAGAGCACAAATGCACAGTTTACTGCTACTGAAATGGTTCTTCATGGTGGCTTGGTATGGACACAATCTCCCTCAATACTCATTTAATGTTGTCTTTGCTTTCACCTCTCCCATCAGCTGAGGGATTCACAATATCTAAAATAAGCGTGTAAGGAACTCTTCTGTATCAGAGGTAGTTTTGTGTCTGCATTATGAATCATAGAAGACATTTGGTCAAAGACTTCTTAAAAAAGGGGCAGAAGAGATACACTCAAGCACAGAGTTGAGATCCATTTTTTTTCAAGCTAATTGGCCATATTAGCTAAAGTATCAACCAAAGTTTAGAATAACCACTTTGTCCACTTAACAAAGCATGCAGTAGCCTGTACAGATAATAGCTTTTAGAGAAAACCTTAAATTTGTCTCAAGCACCAAAGATATATTTTTAAAAGTGTAAGTGACTAATGTAGTGGCTGAATGGTGCCCCCTCCAAAAAAAGGAGGATATGTTCACATCCTAATCCCTATAATCTGTGAATTAGCTTGTTTGGAAAATGTAATTAAATTTGGATGATATGATTAAATTAAGGATTTAGAGATAAGATTATCATGGGTAATCTGAATGGCCCCAAATTCCATTATAAATGTCCTAATACAAGAGAGGCAGAGGTAGATTAGATGCACTAAAGGGAAGATGATGTGGAGAAAGAGCAGAAAGAGATGCAGCCAAGGAATGATAACAGACACAAAAAATGAGAAGATGCAAGGAACATATTTCTCCCACAGTGAACATAACTCAATTTTGGACATTGGCCTCTAAAACAGGAAGAGAATACTATTTTAAACCACTATGTTTGGGGTAATTTGTTATAGCAGCCACAAAAATCTAATACAGGTATCAGTACAGGCAAATGGGCTATTGCTGTAACAAATATCTTAAAATGTGAAAGTGGCCTTGAAATTGAATAATGGGCATAGACTGGAAGAATTTTGATGCATGTGATAGAAAAAGCATAGACTGGACCATTGATGGAAATATGAGTGTTAAAAGGCATTTTTGGTGAGGGCCTGCAATGAAATGAAGATCATTTTATTGGATATTGTAAGCAAGGCAATGCTCGTTCTATATTGGCAAAAAGCCTATATGAATTGCCACCTAAAGTTGTGTGGCAAGGGGAACATGTGACAAACTAGGATATTTGGTTGAGGAGAGTTATAATTGAAGCATTAGAGGTATGGCATAGTTTCTTCTCTGCCTAGAGTAAAATAGGGAAGAGAAATGGAGGAAAGACTATTAAGTGGGTAAAGAACCAGTACTTGATGAGTTAAGAGATTCCAAGCCTATTCAGAATGTAAAAGAGGCTAAAGTTAGGAGATTCAATATTAGGAAAGTGTACTCTGAAGATAGGGCCAAGGCTAAGGATGTGGCTGGATATTCTTTGCCTAGTGCTAAAGAGATCAGGCATTGAGTCATGGATTTACTCAACCATCTCAGCAGAAACCAGGAATAGAGAGAAAGTTATCCAGGAAAGATATGTAATAGGGCCCTCTTTTCTAATTGTGTGAATCAACATGATATATGGGAGCTCTACCAAGTTTTTGAGAATGCTATATCAGCAGAAACGTCTTTGCTTGGCCTGCAAGGGGCAGAGACAGGACAAAATTAGAGAAGGCTGTCAGACTAACAATATTCTACAGGCAGGAAAATATAAACTATTCAGCTACAAACATGTGCCAGTTTTCAAGATAAAAGGAGGATGGCACCAAGGGAAAAGCTGCAAGTGCAAAGTTGGAGGGCCAAGAATGAGGGGAGAGTCAGAATTGTGACCCATGGGCACAGAGGCAGAGGCCCAGTTCATGGTCCAAGAGGGGAGAACTTCAGACCCAGAGGGTGGGGCCCTGAGACAGAGAGGACTGTTGCTAGGCCTTGAATCCTAAAGGGAATTTAGTTAGTTTTTGAAAATGATTAAGACAGGTGACTGACTCCCTTTTCCATTATCTCCTTCTGGAATAGGGACATTTGTAATTATTTAGAGTTGAAACTGTAATCAGCTGAGACTTAGGAATGTTGGAATAGGGTGAATATATTTTACACATGAGAAAGACATCAATTTTGATTGGGGGACAGAGGGCAGAACCTCTAGATGTTCCCTTATTTGGAAAAGGGGTTTTAGAGATGTAATTAACTTAAAGTTCTTGAGATGAAGAGATTATCCTGGCAGAGGGAGATTAGGTACACAGACAAAAGGTGCTGCAAAGATGAGTGGAAATGTGGCCATGAGCCAAGGAACGTCAATAGCCATCAGAAGCTGGAAGAGACAAGAAAGGATTCTCTAGAACCTCTGGAGGGAGCATGACCCTGTGAACCCCTAGATTTCAGAACAATGAGAGAATCAATTTCTGTTGTTTTAAGCCACCAAATTTGTGGTCATTTATTATAGCAGCCAAAGGAAACAAATATAATTAGTTAACATTTTATGTGTTTTCTATTTTTTTAAGATTCTTAAAAAAATCTGCATAATTGGTGCTTCTCCTGTGTGGTAGTAAGAAACAAAAGATTTTAGTATAATTTGGTTTTATACTAAAATGTCACTATGTACTTTTCAATCTAAATAAAAAATGCAAGTGGCTAAAACAGGACCATTATAAACCTGATAAGTAAATCTTTTAACTTAATTATTGGACCCTGAAAGGTTTTTTTTAATGTTTGTGAAAGCATGTGGATTGCTGTAAATACAAATATATAACTTATCAAGAATAGCACTTCATTCATTCTTGTTCACAAACTAGAAAATAAGGCAAGTTTGCATCTGGAAAAGGCAATACACATCACTATTTCTACCTTGACAAATTTGATAATATGGCATGGCAAATGTCTCCAAAATTTAGTCAAGGTTGACACTTCAAAATAATTTTTCTATAGTCAAAAGACTCAAAGAAGTGATACCATGAAGATTTCAGAAAAAAATCTTTGCAAAGTCAAAAATGCACACATTAGTTATTTACCTAAATTAGTAGGACCTAAACTTTTGCTGTTGTTAAAAATAGTGTGTGAAAACAGATGTGTCCTCAAACATGTTTATGTGTGCACATGTGTGTTTTCAGTCAGGAAAAAGTGGAAAAAATCTCAGATGTTGTGACTTTGATTTCTCTATTATAGCAGCTTTCAGAGAATTTTGAAGTATAATACTCAAGCCAGAATGCACTGGAGGACAAGGCAACCATGTAAATTATTATACATCTATATAAAGAATTCTGTGAGCTACTGGTCACTTATCTCAGATGGTGACTTGCCAAGCCAGTCATTTGTTCTTTATCATGTGCAGTGGAGGAATAGAAATAGGACTTTCTACATAAGAAATATACATATAATAACTCTTTTACAGTAATCACAATCATCTGCATGAATTGGTCTTCAAATTGCACTCCAGAGAAGTTACACCAATTATTTCAATGCATATCATAAAATAACAGATAAGTTAAGTATAACTTTAACTTTCATCTATTTGAGAAAAACATAGACCTTGTTTTTTTTCCCCAGAGTTGTTGTGGCAGCAACATTTAAATTTGTTAATATAAGGTAAGTATGATGATGACTGAGAAGTTCACTTAGTTACTGGGATGTGCAATTACTGCAGCAAGAGATACAAATATATACACACATGTATATACATATACATATATAGAATTTCTTTTTTTCTTCCTCAGACCACCAAAACAGAATTGGAAAGGGGAGTAGAAAGGAAGATAGAACAGTTGACCTTTCACACAGTTTTCTGCTGCCTTTTATAGAAAGAAATCTCTTTCCTCCCAGGTCTTCTAGAACTCCATTCCCTGCCTTCAAGGGGGTCAAGGGAGAAAGAAGCAATAGAGAGAAGAAATAAACCACAAATATGAATCAATATTTGCCTTTAAAATCTAAATAAAGATAATAGAACTTTCAGGTACATCCCTAGCACAAACATTAAAATGTGGAGTTTTTCTCAAAAAATAGTCATATAAAGTATTTGTATAAAGTAGACATCTATGCATATTAGAAAATACCTCTTTAAATAAAGTTGAAGTCATTTTCCCTAACTGATTCTGTTAAACTTTGGTTTATTTTTAGCAATGATGTGTGCTTGCAATATCATGCTGAAACGCTAGACTAATGATAAATTTAATTTCAGCCAAAGCAGATGAATCCATCAGCTTTCACTTGAGATAAGATTCTAAATAACTTGACTGACATGGAGCTATACTTTTTTGAGTTTTCAAAATGGCTTCTCTTACACTGTGTGCAATATTAGCACCTTTCCAAATCATTAGCATGCACATTTTGTCTTGGCCTTTTCCTTTGCTATCTATTAAATTGGAAGCAGACAGTGAATAGATCTGTCTATTCTTTTTTTCTTCTTCTTTTTCTTTTAGTGGGAGTGACCTAGAAATTTAGGATTTTAAATATTTGAAAGTCTCAAAACTCTTCAATTTTTTACAATTCCCTCTTCAGAGTCAGGTCACACAACAACAAAGAACAGACATTTTTATGCTAAAGTGGAACAAATATTTCTAGTCCTGTGAGCTGTCACATAGGTATTGTGGGAGGAGTCTAGTGATAGTTCTACAAATGCACATCAATTCATCCAGTTTAGCTTGACCTTTGCAGAAATACACTTATATCCACTCTGACCCTTGAATGCATGTTTTGTTCTTCTGAAAACATATGATTTTGTTTACTTAAATATTTTTCATATTCTTTGGCATCAGGAATCACTTAGATGAGATAGCTCCATTGTGGCGAGAGCGTGACCTTTCCATAGGTACCCGTCTGTTATCTGTAAGACAAAGAGAAAAAGAACCAAAAACATGGTGAGCCTTAGATCTTGGCTATTACATGATACCGGGTTGAGAGAGGTTTTCAAACAGTACTGAAAAATCACTTCAAATGAATATGTAAATAGGCAACAAGGAGCCCAGATCTGAGGAGTTCATGCTGCAGCTGCCAGGCTGAGTTCAAGAGTTCTACCATCAGCAATAAATGACTTTTCTTGGTAAGCAAAGTCAGAGTGATAAAAGAAATGGAAGAATTCTCTCAAGCACAGTCCCCTTGGAAATAGCAGGCGACAACAAAATTCCTTGGTAAAAATGTTAAATTGAAAGGATCTATGTACAGTGCCTTTTGTTGGAAAGCACTTCAATTCCCTATGAGTTTTCAATTTGTATGTTGGCTACCTCTAGAGGACACCAGCATGGGCAGAGCAGAAAAGAGTTTTTATTTTTCACAATGATTGCAATATGTGGCAATCAAACCGGCTACTGAGTTGGCCTGATTGTATGATGTAAACAAATTCAATACATTATATAGTCATTATGGGAATGAATAATGAATGGGACCTAGAATAGGTCCCATTCCTCTTACCCATCACAGGAAGAATAATCACTGTAAAGATGACTGTTGGCACAAAGCTTGGAAAGCAAAGTTTAAAAGCATTGAAAGTTGCTGAAAATAGTTTTCATTTTAATAGAAAAAAAAGGTTTACAGCTCTGCTTTGTGATGATCACTGCTATGTTATTATCACCTCTGTTTTATGCTCAGCTTAAATGCAATTGATGTGGGTGAAAATCCCTTTTTGACAAAAGCATAATATACTTAGATTCTCCATTTAGAATGAGACTGGGTCCCTAGAAATAATGACAAGCACCAACACTTACATAAATGCTAACACTTTCCACTCGTTAATTTGCTAATTCACACAACATCCCCTGGAGGTAAGCCCATTTCATTCTATCCTATTATCTCTGCTTTAGTGATGGAGGTTACACAGCAAATCAATGGTGTGATGGGGGATTATAATGCAAAGTTAATACCTAAATGTCAGGTCAGCTTTGTCCAGAAGTACATGTTGGGGCCTCCCAAGCTGCTACTCATTTCTTCCCTGAGATGGTGATACCCAACCAATATATCCTGCCTGTTACATGGGAAGGAAGGACTGAAAAGTGCTGAGGGTTGGCCATAGTGCCTTTCTCATCTGTGCTAGCACCTCTTGACTGATTCCTGGAGTTTTTGATCAATACCCAGAGTAAACCTAACTGGCCCCCATGATCCTCACCTCATTAATGCTCCTTGTGAATGCATTGAGCCAACTATCCATAAGCTTAAAGCCCACCCAGAGCTTCATAATGCAACTATATCTCAGAGAGGTGAGAAAACAAAAGTCATTTTCTCCACTCAGAGATATATCTGAATGATGGATTATTGGGATATCCTTTTGATGATATCATTGAAAAAAATCTATTATTTAGTTTGTGATATGTTTCACAGTTCAGCTAAAAATGTGAAGATACCATTCCTGGATAAAGGATTTATTGCTTAGAAGTCACTGGTTTGCATACACATTGGTTTGGGGCTTCTTAGAAAATACTTCAAAATGAGATAACAATACAATGGTTCCCATTGCATCGCTAACATTTAAGAGTTCAGTGTTAAAGCCATCAGATCTAGCATGCTTACAGTTTTGTGCCAGCTCGAGAAAAGGCTTGTGCCTTGGTGCCATAAATATCCATTCCATTGCTTACCACTCAATGGATCCAACATGAGTACCACCTCTAAAAACTTAGCCCCACAGCATTATATGATAGGATGTGAGAATTCACATCAACTTGCAAATTATCAGTAGCATTTGGTGTGAGAAAATGAACTTTGGAGTGAAAGCACACTGAAGAAAGGACACTGAAGCTTTTGGAAGACAGGCTAAACTTTGGTTCAGGACCCCAATCCAGTGTTATGGTTGGATATGTGGTGTCCCCAAAAGCTCATGTGTGAGACAATGCAAGTTTTAGAGGAGAAATGATTGAGTCCTAACCTAATCTATACATTAAGCCCCTGATGGGATTTACTGAGTGGAAACTGAAGGCAGGTAGGGTATAGCTAGAGGAGGTGGGTCCCTGGGGCATGGCCTTTGGGGTATACATTTGGTATCTGGTGAGTGGAGCCTTTCTCTGCTTTCTGAACATCATATGAGCTGCTTCCCTCTGCCATACCCTTCTGCCATGTTGTTCTGCCTCACTTTGAGCCCTGAGGAACAGAGCCAGCTATCTGTGGACTGAGACCTCTAAAACCACCAGTCCCCAGATAAACTTTTCCTCCTCTACTATTGTTCTAGGCACGTCTTTCAGTCACACCAAAAAGATCACTGAAACATCCAGATTTTGGTACACATGAAAAATTATTTTAGATTTTCTCCCCCTTCATTTTGGGTACCTAATAGGTCCCTATGTTAATGAGATAATTATATGAAGAAGCAATTCTGTAAAGGTCACCACTTACATTTTCAAAATGTTAACCCACAACCTTTTTCTATGGGGGAAACAATGTCAGAAATTGCTATCTAGATCTTTTGATGTGTTTCCAATTCTGTGTTTATGTTAAAATTAATTTAGTTGCAAAATATATATTTATACTTTAGACTTGTATAAAATCAAGACATGTAGAATTTAGAGGCTATCATAAAGTGTACACATGCTTTGTTGCTTTTAGATATACATAAACTTTCTTTTCCCCCATCTGTCCACGTTCTAATGGTAACTAGCAATCTAACGATGATAACTTTTCATGCTTGGAGTCGTCTTGAATGAGAGACTGAAATATCACTGAATGAACTGTTTGAAATATGACTTTTACATTTATGGTATTAAATACTAAGGGCCCTCATAAGTAGTCATCATAATAATGAGAACATATGTTAGATATTATTGTTGTCAGAGGTGACAAACAATGATTGTGAGAGTGATAGCATTTCTCCTTTGGAAACAGGTGTAGGAGGTAGCTGCCCATGTGATATAATTTGAGAGCTCCATAAACTCCAGTATAAGCCAAATTCACTTTTCTAACTAGTCTTCATCTTATAACACTATTGATGCTACTGTACTTTCGATGACAAAAATAGAGGCCTTTCATCCCAAAAGTGAGTGGGTTAAAACACATGTATCTACCTGAAATGATACTGGGTGGGGAGTTGTTAACAAGTAGTGGCATCTCCTCCCAATCTGCCTCTTATAATTTTGGAAATCAAAGGGAAAGAGATGGGGGTGCATGGAACTTGTTTGTATGTACTTGTTGGGGACACTGAAATGAGATAGAGGAAAACTCCACCATAGTTTGGTAAGAACACCCTAACAGATTCTCTTTGGTCATCAAAGACTTGTCTCTGAAATGCCCCAGGTGAAGGTGAACAGATTCTGATACTGTGGAGATTGATCTGATCAAAGAATGAAGTTGAAAAGAAGGATATAGGTATATGAAAATGTGCATCCTATGGAGCAAAGATGGCCAAAAACAATATTCAAATCTTTCATCCAAAGGGAATATAAAATACATGGCTCATCTTAACTATGGTTCAGCACCTTATGAATATCAGGTTAACCAGCACAAACTGATGCCAAGGCTTTCCCTGCTGTCATAAGAGAAGAAGCTTTATGCTTTATGACTTTCCTGAGCATAAATTGATTTGGCATTCATCTCAAAAATCTTCCCAACTGAGTTTTGAAGTGAATGGATTAATCCCATTATTGTATTGCTCTAGAATTCACTCATGCAATCATTTATTCAGCAACTATGTACAAAGCACATCATCCATGAAATAACTGAATGTCACTAAGTTTTAGATCCATCCCTAAATCTATATCATTAATTTCCTTCTTCCTAAAAACTTTGTCAAGTGAACTGAGGAATAAGCACAGCCCAGATAAGGCCTGCACATTACATAACATGAGATAGTCTAGAAGACTCAAACCTACAGTATGTAACCTGGGAGTGTGTCACTAATCCTATAACAAAAGGAGTGTATGCCAAAGTACAAGGCTGTGTCTTTGCACACTGCATGAGATCAAGTTGGAACTGAAAAATTCCAATAAAAAAGGACCACATTCATTATTCATTCCCCTCAAAGTTAGGTGTCTGTCTCTTGTTGTCTAAGGAGAGACCGTTTCCCTTCTGCTTCAAAAACAGTTGTATCAATGTTGCCCTAATCAAACATATTAATCCCTCACAGTAGGATAACATTAAACCAAGTGTATGCCCAGTACATACCTCACTATTTCAAAATATCCCATCTTAATGCAAATTAGTTGTCTAGAAAACAAAGTAAAAGAAACCTTCAATGTAGGCACTGTTTCCAGCAAACATAGCAAATGAAGGTCTGGGTCTATGCAGCTTCGGCTAAGGAAACCAAGGAAAGTTATTGCTTCTAGAAATGTTCACTAAAGTAGCTATTTGTATCCCAAAACAGTAGTGAGAGAAAAATCACTTATTTTAGACAGTTATATTGAAATCATCGTGTGAACTTACATTCCCCCTCCCTGTGTTCAAAACTGTTTATGGTTTTCTCTGTGATTTTAGGGATCCTAAATTGGATTAAAGTTTCTCACCTCACTAGAAATGAGTGGCCTATGGTAACCAAATTAGGCTTGGGCCTAATCTCTTGATAGAGGACCTTTCTCTATCAGTTGACCAGATTCTTTCTCCTCACTGTTACCAGAATACAGTCTTTAAAAAAGCTTGAACTCAAACTATTTATACAAATTGGCATTCTACTTTTTCATTAAATATTTTAGCACAGAAATTTTATATGTCATTAAACTTCTAGATTATTATATTACAAATATGATCTCTTTTTTTAAAGAGAGAGAGATAATTTTTTAATATTTACTTTTTAGTTTTCGGTGGATACAACATCTTTATTTTATTTTTATGTGGTGCTGAGGATCAAACCCAGCGCCCCGGGCATGCCAGGCGAGTGCGTTACCGCTTGAGCCACATCCCCAGCCCACAAATATG